TTGATTGATTGATTGATTGATTGATTGATTGATTGATTCCCTCTGGAAGAACCACTCTCGGTGGTCCTCTCCCTACGTATTTTAAGCAGAGTCGAAACGCTAGTTATGCGGCATGGAACGTGCGTCAATGGTCGATTACTCGTATCTTTTGCTATATTGTCCACGTCATTCATTTTATCAGTGTTTTACCTGTTAGTTGTGTGATATAGTTGCTGCGGTTCGGCATTGCCCGCAGCGCGTCGTATTGTATCGTGTCCACACTAGTGTGTTTGTGAGCGTCGATCCTTGCCGTCCAGTGTTGACGTGTGACTGTACAGGGCTGTGAAGACGACAGAATCGGAGTGAGCGGAAGAGGTCGATCGGTCACAGCATCATCGCAACCTCCACCACCTCCTTTTGGGTAGCCCAACCAAGACCACCTGTAACGATCGGACAGTGTTGTGGATTTCATGTGTTTTCTGAAGGGCAGTCGGTGGATCCTCGAACGAAAGATGCATTGTTACGATTGAAGAGACGATGGTATAATGTGGAGCTTCTTGGACCTTGTTATAATCGGTACGCAGGTATTATTGCGTGTTAGCGGAACTGTTAATGTGGGTTAGTTGGTTGATAGTGTGTTAGTCGACCTGTTTTGAGCTGTGTTGATGGACAGAAAATCGGCATTGCAGATAAGCCTCCCAAACTGTAGCACATGAAGTGGGTCGATCAGTGGTGGGGCATTTTTTGATGTGATTGCCTATGAGGAGGAAGGACCTACAGAATTTTGTGAGTTCATGCATTGCTACTGTGAATTGCCATGCATCTGTCTTGCTCTTGTGGACGCGACGGTGCTATGGGGCAGCATGTGTGCACTGTCTTTGGTTCGGTTCGAATAGGCGTCTTTCACGGCGAAGTGCAACAAACGGTCAGATTTTGTCGACGGTTGCCGGTGTCTGGAGGATGCGCCTTTGGAATACTGTTTAGTCGATGACACTGTGTTGATACTCTAGTGTTTGGGTATGTTCGATTTCTGGATTGGTGCCAGTTGTAGATGGTTTGTAACCGTGCTCACCTTCGATACCGATCTAATTTTGATCATCAAATGTGCGTAGGTGCGATCTACTGTATTGCTTGAGATTGGAATTTGTGAGCAGTAAAACCATCAGGCGCTCCCATTTCTCCCTCCGTTTAAGGTTTGATCCGTGGAATTCTCGGAGATGTGCACCGCTTCTGGTGATGATTGTCAATGAGGATGAAATAGCGGAATGGAACGTGGGATTGTAAACGGTAGGTTGGTTGTACAATGAATGATACGGCTGTTGAGCGTGCTGACGATGACTTATTTTTCGTCATCCTATCTCTAGTGCGGATCCGATTGCCTGAGAGTTTTTCTTCAGTTTATTGTTAGCATTGAGGACACTCATCAATTGGTACCATTTTATTTCTATGCTTTCTGCATTTCAGTTTGGCTTTTGTATTCCGAGAACGGGATCGGTCAAGGCTGCTTGGTGAGCGGAAGTTGTTTCGGAGTATCCTCGAGGACTAGCTACAAACAGATCTCATGGGATCACGTAGAAGCGACTGTTGCCGAACCCTGATGAGCAGAGACCAGAGCGACTGGATTGTTGCTGCTATTTATATGTGGACACTGGAGTCTCTAGGATCGGCTTGTAAGTTTCTTTCGGAATGTTGGCTGGATTCTGTTAGATGATGACTTATTTTTCGTCTCCTACATTAGTGCGGAGAGACTTGTCTGAAAACAGATTAGAGTTTGCTGTTGCAATCGATGATTACTCAGTTGATAGCGGGCGCCTTTGTCCCCTCTTTCATTTCAGATTGTTTGCGATTTGCTTGGATCACAATGCGCTGATACCTGTTGTATGTCGATGGGCGTGAGTCGTGCAGCGTGTAGGCTGTATTGGTGGAATGTGGGTTTTTTTCCGGTGACCAGTTGTGTTGTGTGAGTTGTTGGCCGATGGCTTCAGAAGATTTTTTCAATTGTAGTTTTGGCGTCCTTGATTCTGTTAGGTTGTGTTATCCGGTTCGTCTGTTTTGTTTTTCTATTTCCATCGATCTCCGTTCCTTCGGCATTTGTTGTGAACTTTTTTCGTTGGCATATGATAAACTTTGTGTTATTTTCTCGTTTTGTGTGGTGTTTGCTTCAATGCTGTCGTCAATTCTGCTTCTTTGGTTTCATTCTTGATTTCTTGAGATTTTTGTAGTTGTATGTGGACTTTGGAATGTTTGTAACATCTCGGTGTTTTTCTGTTGAAATTGTCGAATATCTTTCCGCCGCGATGACTGCGGTTTGTTTCCTATCTGGATTTTTTTTCAGTTTTTGTTGTTCTTGCATGTTGTTTTAGTCTACCCATTTGCTCCCACGTTGAGTTGTGCTGACCTGTTGATACAAAGCAGCAGGCTAAACAATATAGTCTTCGTTTTCTAAGGCTTCTTATGCTGTCTTACGTTTTGTCTCAGGGGTCGGGTTGGGTGTGTTGTTGAGTTTTCACCACAACCAATCTAGAGGTCTCAGCAGGATATGCATTCGTATCATCTGCCACAGCAATTATTATGATGTTCAACTACTAGCAAGTAACTGAAATAAGCGTATATAAATCGCCACTCGTGTGACATATCTGTCTTGCCAAACGCAGTAACATAGTGATCTTTTCAAAGTTATTGTCGTTATTTTCGACGTTTATCTAATTGGCAGTAGTCTCAAGCGGCTTACGTGTTATTTGTCAGTTGGGGTATTTTCTACCCAATCTCGATGACATGTTCTGCAGATTTTGGGTGCAATCTTCATTCTTCACTGGCCGATGCGACGTTACAGTTGATTAAAATTTTTTTGCGTGCTATCTACTTATGTCATTCTAATGCTAGTAAAGTAGTGAATGGATAAAGGGCACTGGAGACGACTTTTTTTTGAATTCCGAGTTGAGTATTCATTGGCCCTATTTGTCTATCATATTCTTCCAGGGTTAACTGTTGTTATCGCTATGTGGAAACTACCGTCATAACTTCCGACAAATACTCACATTTCAATACGAATTTGGTTTCGACAGGAGACTCACCTGAATCCAGCTGAATCTTGTTTGGAGTGGCCCGCTTTAACTAAATATCCTGCACCAGACTGCCTCTTGCTTTAGTTGGTAGGATATTCGAAATATCGCAATATGTTGTTGTCCCGATCTAAAGCTGCTACGTCGATGTGGTAGTTGGGTTTGAGTGTTGCAATGATCCGCGCGCTACACTGGCTGGAACTTCGTTAAGGTGTCTGAATCTTGTTTGGAGTGGCCCGCTTTAACTAAATATCCTGCACCAGACTGCCTCTTGCTTTAGTTGGTAGGATATTCGAAATATCGCAATATGTTGTTGTCCCGATCTAAAGCTGCTACGTCGATGTGGTAGTTGGGTTTGAGTGTTGCAATGATCCGCGCGCTACACTGGCTGGAACTTCGTTCTCTAAGGTGTCTCCCATAAATTTCCGACCTTCCTCGAGGCGCTGTACGCCAACTCCTGCGAACATGTGAAGATCGACGGGAAGCTCGCTTGAGTGGTATCATCAAGTGGTATCAGGCGAGGCTGCCGTCTTCCATTTTTCCTCTTCTGCTTCGTCATTAGTGTCATGCCTGTGTGGCCGAAGTGCTCCCTGAGCATTCGCTAACAGATGTCTAGTACGCAGATTACATAGCTCTTCTTGAATCTGAACCCGTGGTAACGCAAACAATATTGAATGATCTTAATACTTCTGCCTCACGGTTTGGCATGTGCTTCACACCTGCAAAGTTCTGCTGCAAGACTGGGTGGGCTCGAACACTAACCTCTGACTTGCGAACCGATTGAGGTAGTGGGCAAATTTGTCTACCTGGACAGTGGTATCAGTTTCGGTGGTCTCACGAAAGATGGTATTTTCATTCGAATTTGGTAGGCCAGAGATTTTGTGGACTTGCATCGCCTCTGGCTTAGGCGTGACATCAGCTTATCCGTCAAGGATCAGGTTCACAGTGCTGCAGTGCGTCAAACTACTTTCAATGTTTGACGATCGACGTTTTCGGAGCAGCGGTTGACTCTGGTGGGAACACCTGAAATACGTCTAATGGTTTTCTGGAGAGATAGCTCGTCCACGATAGATGAACTGATCACACTATAGGTTATGTTGGCCTGGACACGTGCTCCGTATGCCTGTCGATCGACTCCCTCAAAGGGCACTTTCCGCACAACCACGTGAAGGGTGGAAACGAGCCAGTCAAACAATGACTTGGCGGCAAACTCAGCTGTGCTGGTCATTGGTGTCTCCATGGGATGGGGCCAATCAGTGGTTAGAGACGTTGTCGGACAAGGCCCAGTCGCGTCCTCAATGGCTCCTGCATCCAAGCTATTGCCTGTAATGAATAGCTCCCCTCCCAATCTCCCTAATTAAAAGTCCACTGACAGCGCTGTATTTAAGCGCCAATTGTATCAAGTACCGCCTTCAATGGGCAGCCATCTACTCACCCACCCTCAAATCATCCGTAAGCAAAACTATGGCAGCTAGAATCACCGTATGGTAAGTATGCCTTTTTTACAGCTGATAATGATTATGCTGAGACGTAGCACACTACTCGTATGGTCGCTCGAAACTCTCCGACAGCCCATCACCAGTTCTGCCCTTGTTTGGGCTCATCAGGTAGGCACGGTCCCCGAGTTTCTGTCAACCATTGGTTCTGCTTGTACCCAAATTTGACAGATTTTATCAGGTACTCTCATTTGCATACGAATTCGTTTTGACAGGACACCCAATTGAATTCTGTTTACTCCCTCGTTTATGAGGGTCCGGGTTCTCAGCAACTTTCTTAGCAGTGAAGTACATTTAAACACTGCCTTCGTAACTACTAATGAGGAAAACGGATAAGAATTCTAGAACTATGCATATCTAATGTGCTCCAGAAAGGGCTAAACAGTTGGTGGGCTATCCAGTTGTAGCAGCGGATTGACAAGACATACTTCGACATCTTGAATATCGGTTCAATTGAACCATGCTGCCGTCTTTTTTAACATATTCGTTTGGAAAATCTTTTGGAATCCCATGTAAAACCTTCCTGATTTACAAACGCGTGTTTAGATTTAATTTTGTGTTCAGTTGCGAAATAAGTTTGGTGGGGATTCGACACCCAAGTTTAGCATCACTAACGGAGTCTTGTAAGCTGTGTTTTCGTGCTGATAGAAACTCATCTTCGAGTGTGGTTTCCACCCTGGTCTGTAATGTATGAAACCCATGTTATCTAGGACCTGTCTCGCAAGGCTGCAGCTATATGCATTTTGGTGGGCACATTCGCAAATCTCAACTCTCCCTGCTTTCTTTTCTTGTTACAAACTTCATCCGCTGATTTAATCAGGAAATGAGCACTTGAGGATAACATATGCCTTGAAATTATAAATTTGCGGTCGGCTGATCGCCTTCTCAAACGTGTTGTAAAGTGAAATATTGAAAGGACAATCTTTTAATTTTCCGGTTACCGTTGTTCGGTATCAGCAAATTGTTATCAGAATGCTTGTAAATCACTTTGTATTTTTCTCGAGATCTAGTTCAGTTTGTGGGTTTGTGATGATCAACTTCACTGATAGCTTTGTGACATGTTTTGTGACTTGCTTCTCAGCTGGACTCCGCTTTATCACACTGTTTCGGATCCTGAAGATGATGTAGCTGCCGACGGATTATCAGCCAATATTGGCAGCTTACCGTTTCTTTTTCCCCTTGCACTCCATGGGTGGCAACCTTTTGCAACAATTCACGGGTGGCAATCCTTAATGGATTCCTTGCAAACTGTTAGTCATGGTAGGATGGAAATGGAAACATGATGCTTAGAGGTTATTTGAAAGTGCTGTGTCCACCTTGAAGTCTAATGGGAAGTCTGCTCTCGGTTGTTGTGTGATTTGTGGAGTGTGAGTTCAACGGGACATCGTAAGCCCAACTTGCTGGTCATTACTCCTTGGTAGGTGGGTCCTTCTAGGCGACTGATGCCTCACCTAAATTGGATCAAGATCCCACTGAAAATCCATCGTTAGTTATCCAGTCTACCAACTCATACCCGTCCTTATATGCCTGATCTCCCTGCTTCCACGGACCATTGTGAGTGATTTTATTATTTTTAGTTCAGCTGGTTGATACCCTATTATCCGTTTAGCATGTGCTCGCCTTCTGTGACACCTCAGTTAGTTTTGTGTCACCACAGAGTTATCATCAGTGGTTATCGGGGAAATCTCACACCTGGTGTTTGAAACGTCAGCTGTTCAATTTCTTCAATGTTATAGTTCACCAAACACCGCGAAACCGAGGATTTCTACTCCGTTTACTCCATACCGGTGTGCTTTTTACTGAAAGTATAAATTCCACAGGCAAACAAGTTTCCGGTTCTCAAAAAGTGTGCGGTACATCCATAATATGGTCAACACTTCAGACCGAAGATTCATGGCAAATTTTAGGGAAAATATCTACAACTTCGGGCTCATTGGTCATTGTCCTCCGCCTGCCACCATCCGTATATTCCCATCCTTTTTTTCGCACAAAGACTTTTGGGATCTTCTGCTGAAACCGCCTCATCAAATGGAACTGCCTCATGTATGTCAACCCCAACACCAACAACATCCAAATCTTCTTTGTATTATGAAACCTCACTTAAATAATTACTCGAGAGCTATTGTTTGCCGCTCATCTGTACGTTACCAGGAGTTACGAGCGCTTGCCTCTATATCCACTTGAATGGTGGAATCGCCACGTCTTTTACCATGAGGCGAGCGTGAAATATTGACAAAAATCGAATCCCAATGTCAGCATACGTTGTGAGAATACAGAAGGGAACAGGAAGCCAGAATGTCGAAACGTGGCCGATGGTTTTTATTGTTAATTCTACTATCCTGCATTGGTGTTTGTGCTCAAGAAGGAACTAACCCAACACAAGGCTTGGCGTATCGAATGGATATAATGTGAAACATCAATTATCCAGAGCTGTTTTCGACATGCTTCACTTTCCCGCTGGTTTACTTGTTGCCATGGCATTATTTCGGGAAAGTACGCCAGCGTTTTTTTCCGGCCTTGACAAATGGAAATTTGCATCAAGTCTTCTGCATGTTACTTGTGGTGATCACTTTCTATGAGGCGTCAAAACCGACAAGTTTCACTTTCATATGGATTTTCACGGATATTTTATAGGTTGTTTTTTTCAAACTTATGATTAACCTGTCGTACATCACTAAATCGAACTGTGTTTTACGGACCTGATTTGTTATCCGAATTTGCCACTGTGTAAACTTTTCCCGGGTATCTGATGAAAGGAGCCAAGTCCCTTACTGCAAAAGGCCGAGGGTAGTGGTGTTTGGAGAAGCTTTTTCGCTAGATGCCAAAATGCTCTTTTGGTGTTTTCTCTGGGGCTGAAATATAAAAGAGAACCGCTGTCTTTACCCCATTCAGTTGCTTAGGGACAAACTGGTTTTCAGTGTTTGTTTCCAACATTCCTTTTAATTTTCCTGGAACAAGATGAAAATGTGGCTGCATGTGATCTTTTCGGCAGTACCCGAGTGGTTTTACCATTCGTCTTTTATGTTCCTCCAATCCCCTAGTCCTCACCATACTTGAGGGTGACTAACACGAATTGGGCAGGCAACAGTGTGTCTTGCTTGACCAGTACCATTTCATTGGACTCGCCCAACAATGGGGATATATTTCATCACAGTAACAAACCATATACCTTGTGGCAGTCGTTTTTAGGCAAATCTCGGTAGACCCTGGTGCTTTTCCACGTCCACGCCACAAACCGAACGGTCAGTTCACTCTCGTCAAACGTCCACAACACACTGAGGGAATCCTCTAGGTATGGCATACTAAGTGGTCCCATGTTCAATGCACCGGGCTCGGGCAGGCAGACCCTTCAGACAGCTTCGCGGTGTTTCGTGTAGACAGTTGACACCGAACTGTCGACGTTTCACCACCATGGCAATAATAATTGGGATTAGAAATGCAGCGATTTAGGATTTTAACGGTCCTATCAATTTGGATAGTCGGTTCATACGTCAGTTCTGCATCCAAGCGGGTATCTCACCCATTTCGGCAGACGTGGATCAAGCCACTTGTTTCAACTGTCGAATGGTAGCAACGGCATTTTTTAAACATCGATCAGTGTCAGTCGATAGCAAATCCACCGTCATTGTGATGTATCTTCTGGGGAAGTATATCAGCCGATTCGGCTACGAAAAACTCACTCCTATTCGGTTATAAGTGGTTTATTTCTTCGAAAAAGAGGAAGTTTCACTTATCAAGGTGGTTTTTGTAATAACAACCTTGCTCTGCATTTAACCCCATCAAACTGGGTAGCCCAGTCAACGGAAAACCCACGTTTGTTGAGGGAATGAAATTTATCTGACCATGCTTCGCAATATAAACTATTTACAAAAAGCGGTACAACAAACACATCATCTTCAAAACTGAGTACAACCGTATCAAATTTGGACAACCACTGTTTTGTTAGGCAGGGTTATATCCACTCCACACACCAAACATACACATTACGGCGCACCCACAGTGCAGGAATTTCTGGCGGTAGGTTAGCCCAAGTTATGGCTGACCAGGGAACCTATGGTAGCGTATGAACTGGACGTAAAAATTATGACATTTTAAATGAACGAAACAGCCTATTTGACTGCCGGAAAAGATCAATTGGTTTGGTTCAAAACAAACTACAGGCCTTGGGAAAGTGATTTCACGGAACACCCAGAGAGAACAGGATGTGTGGTCTTTACTGGATGAAAAAGTGCGTACGGACATCGAAATGGTCATCTCGCAACTATGCCTGTCTGCATCAGTCAACTCGCTAGGCCTATCAGGTAAAGGCAGTCATACAAAAAGCACTGTCTCCCAACCATCTAGCTGTGCTATTCGACTAATAGACGAGTAAGCGTGTAGTTGGCTGTAGTCTTCTTACTGGATGAAAATCTGTAGGTCCGGAAACAATCAGTCTGGGGTCGCAGTTACTGTCGAGAATACCATCCTGCCGCGGACTACCCGTCATGACGTTGCTGTTAGCTCTTTTGTCATTTGTTTTGATTTCGATCCTTTTGGGACTCACATTAGCTTCAGAAGGCAGTCGAGATTCTGATTAACAAAACTATTCGGAATGTCCTGTCCAACTGTCATTCCATCAGACTACACACTATTTAGCGATGGGTAACAGAAAAATTAAAAGCCGGAGTTAGTAAATCTACTTGCTTAGGTAAATAACCTCTTTTGTGTTTCTTCCACTGTCTTGAGAAGTTGATAATCTAATGCAACTTAATATCCATTTAGTTGAAATCAGTAACAAAGATTAGCACGACTACAAATACGCCAATCATCTTCGGAGGTTGTTCGGTACACGCCGGAGTTCTGGCTAATTCATTCAAAGTGGAGTTTACTCCATTGTTCCTATTACGGGAGCGATGCGAGATCTGAACTGACTAAGTCCTGGCGAAATGCTCGTGAGGACAAAGCAAGAACCGGGATGTTTTGTGCTAGAAAATACGTTCGTGGCTAATGATGAGTAGTTTCAGCTTCCCGCTTATTTGTTCATGTGTTTGAGGACTGACAAGGAGATGCAGTCGTCCCAACCGAGCATATTCTCAACATTTATCCCGTACCACACTGATTCAAAGCTCTTATAGAGCCTGCATTATTCAGGCAACAGACTACTTCAAGTGGCGTGGGCATAGCCGAAGTGGTTATGCCCGTATTCAATCACAAATGCTATATTAAGCGTAATATCTCAGCAGGGATTGAGACTACCTTACGTGAAAGACTACTGCCGGAACAATTAGACATTGCTTTGGCCGGTGTAATTTCTTCTATAGGAAAAAGTACCATATGGCAACTCGGGCATAGAGTCTGGGGGCAGGTTGTGGTCCATTTTTTACACCTTGTAGCATTGTATAGATTCTCGGGTTACTGCCCATTCGAGGTAGGTATTGGAAGGGTGCGGGTTCGACGAATGTTTGTATAGTTTGAACGATATGTCAAATAAACATCGACCATGTAGGGTTTTAATTGATCAGTTTTCTTCATAGTGGTGAAATTCAGTGGTGATGGAAGACGTCTGGTCGGCTGCCTGCTTACTATTTTCCTTTTGACGACAGGGATTGAGACGATCTTGGTAGCGTTCGCTCCTTGCGGAAGGAGGAGGAACAGCATGTGTTTTGATGCTCTTGGTAAACGAGAACAAGTTCTAACGTGACCACAGCAACCGCGAGAGTCCGCGCAAAACAGAGAGATGGGTATAAAACAGCGTTTCAGATCAAGCATCACCCGAATTAACCTCCATCTAGAATGAGGCTATAAGTCATGTGATGCTCAACCTCCATTCCGACACATCCTTAATCAGATTTCAATAATTCCTTGAAGTATTACACAGTTGAATGGGTTCGTTCGAAACAGGAAATCACCGTAATTCACTGACTGGTGATCTAGCTGGGAAAATAATTCACCTTAGGCTGGATAAGCAACACACATTAACTAGCGACCATGTTTCCATCGTTTTCAGTGGTTACAGTGATACCACATACGGAGTAGATAATGCAGTAAGTTCACCGATGCATTTGATTTAATTAGCAGATAATCTCAGGTCTTTAAGAAACACAAAGACATCAACGTCGACACGCGATACAGAGTCCTCCGACCTCATTCATTATAGTCCCGGCAACTACGGAGGACAGCGCTGCATTTGGCTTTAAGATGGGTAGTAGCCTCCCCCTTCATATGTACATGGCAGTAAAGGTAATTTTGCCTCAGAAACGACTGTCTGGCAGTCAGCCGTTCCCCATCCGAATGCAACGAATGACTAACGGCTAGGAGGGTCTCTTGGTTTGACCTAATTGCACGCGACAGGTCGACACAGAACGAAGAAAGAAAACAGCTTTACCTGGCCATCGCTAGGTTACATAACGGGGATTATCCACTCATCATCGTCATTTTCGCTGTTGTTTTTGAATCTCAGAGGTATAGTGTTGCTGGGGTCGTCATCGGTGTGTGTAGTAGCGTGACAATCGGGGCTAAGGGGGGAGGGTGGATGATGGCAGCCTACAAGGTCGATACAGCCAAGCCTAATTTCACTGCGGAACAGAAAACATTCCACACCCATCAATCCATTCTGTCAATCCTTGGCATCCAGTGGAGACGGGACGCACACTAGAACACAATTGCCATCTGGCAAGGGATGCTCGCCTGCATGCGTTATGTATAGAAAATATAACATTCCAACCCTCAGATATCGCTGCATCAGAATAGTTCCCGGATGAATGTTTCAAAAACTGCAAGACCGTTGTTCGCCTTTCAGTGGCAGTGACGTTCGATGATATTTGGTTACATGGCAACTCCCCTACCCCCAAAAAAGATGTCAATAGAAAGCACAGAAATGTCGGTCTTGGGAGGACTGTCAAAAACAGAAGGGAATTTTTAAGTAGAAAAGATTTCGTTACCAGATTTCCGACTGGCTCAACAAAAAATATGGGTTGGTGGTGCTACTTTTTCAAGCATCCACTATCATACTGTGGATGCGCACATTCAGTCCGCCGGTAGTTCTCCAAACCTTTAATTCCTCACCTGAAAACAGGCTCGACTGTCGAAATACACTTACTTTTAGAGTTACTTTCAAGCTAACCGGAGACTCAACTGCGTCTCCGGTTTATGACTTGTATAGTAGATCAAGGAAAGCTAAGGCTATCGATTCACAAAGTTTTGGTAAACAATCGGTAGATGTATTACTTGCTAAAGTTTCGCCTGAAAGCCTGGGTTTTAAGACAGTAAGAACCAATCGATTGAAAAACTCTCGCCGATTAATATGAGTTATTGCATATTGTGAATATGTTTGGGGATTTAAACACCAGTTTGAACGATTTAGGTTTGAAATCTCCCAGTTCAGAGGTTTTCAGCTGATGTGTCTCATTTCTGCAGTTTGGAAAGGACTACGACGGTCTGGTTAGGAGAGGCGAATGAGATTGTCCGTTTTTTGTTCGACTTAGCCTACTAACTTTAGCTCTAACCTAATTCCTCTTCAATGATAACCACACAGCTGTGTCAACTCCCTTCGTTATCGAATGAAAGACAGACTCTCACCATTGCTTCTTTCAGTAAACAACATCCACAATTTATTGCTATACTATACTTTACTTCGTGCTATACTTGACCGTAATTCGGAATGTAGAAGACTGGAAACTAAGTTCAAGAAGCCCGAAGCCATTGAATGTAAAAATATGACGATGCCTTCTTAAGGTCCTATGACAAATTCCCCTGTACGATTTTTCAGATAACTGTTTTATGTAATTCCGTGGGTCTCAGACCACGGTATGCGTTCAGCGCACAGGAATGAAATCTGCCATGAATTTCTCTCATAACTGAGCACAGCTATTCATTTTTTTTTTAAATTGGATCGCTTCGGAGATGCACACATTCCCCCCGATTCTTGGATAATACAGCTGCCTCGATTTCCTGACAGTTCACAAAAAAGTACGAATAGTTTCAATACCACTGGCACTGAGTAACGGAGATCAAGCGTCAGAAGACCTTCTTTTACGAATTATTACTTTCATGCACGTGGACCACTCAGCGCGAATGTAGTAATATAATTGTATAACAAGCGGTCCAACTTGATAATCAAATAAGGGTGGGGGTTGAAATTCTGTTAAGCGTGCTTCGAATGCCTGGATGGACGTGTGGAAAGTGACCGAAGATTCACATTCTTTGCTACCTATTTAACCGCATTGTATTACCAGTAGTTTGAACAAAGTATCAGGGAAAGGCATCTGTGTTAGTCGTATTACGATGGATGATTTCTTATTTGGATACCTTCCATGTCAGTGCCTCAAATATATAGGTAACCAGCTATCATAGATCTTTGCTTCCCATAATCTTATGTTTTGTTCTGACAGCAACAAATTTCCATTTCCCGTTTGATTCACATCATATCGATAAGGTAATCATTGGCGAATTCGGTGCGCTTGTTTGCCTGAATGCTACCTGAGAGTTCTGCACACTAATAACTAATCGTCTCGCATCACAACCGTGTGTACTTTACTGCGACATGCGCAGTCTTAACTGTCTTAACGCAGGTTCCAAGTGAATCCAGCTGATTCTCCCCTCCATGCTTCAACTGTATTTGGCGGATCGCGACCAATATGGGTTCAAGAAGAATATATGTTTGATTGACGAAAACCCAGGGACTGCGTCTATCCGACGAACCCGAAAAAAAGCTAAACCCGGCTTGGGTTGTCGAAGAGCGTGTTTTTTCTAGACAATGTACTGTGATATCTTGGCAAATGAAATATGAGGCAGTATTGTGAATTGTTCGGCCGAAGTAGAAGTTAATGAGATTCATCTGGGATTTACTTGTCTCCTGTTGAAATCCGATTGGCTTGTAAATGGGTTTATTTTGCGAATTGCGTCCAAATTGGTTAAACAGAAACTAGAAGCTTCGTTTGCCTGATTAGCCCGAAGAGGGGCGAAACCGATCATGGGTTGTTAAAGCGTTTTCGTCAGCCTTATGAGCCCTGTCTAGGACAGATACTCTATCACCTTTGTGTGCAGCTGATATGATGCTGGCACTCTCGTTGCTTCATCCCCTGTAGAGCGCGCCCCGTCGGGGTCGGACGGGGATGCGGCCTCTCTATGTGATGCTTTGACCGATATGGTACGACGCACAGCATTATAAACCTGCTTTACCTTTAAGGACAAAACGGAGAAGCGAGGAAGGAAATGGTTTGCCTTTTTCCATGGAAATTCCTCCAGCAGCCACACGTGGTGCAACTTCATTTACTATTAGATTAACCAAGGACTGTGTAAGTCAGCATGAGGCTCAATTATCCGATGGTCCCAATAGATGAATGATTGCTCAGTTCCTAAGATCAGTGGCTGGAACTCGACATGACGTTAGGAGCGGTTTCCTCTAGAGGACCTACTTGAGTAAGCTACGAAAGTTAGCTGTGCGATCGTCTGCATAACAGAACTGGAGTGGACACAGTTATTCATATGTACAACAATCAGATGAAGAAATGTACAATGTAACGTGACTTGTTAAAGTTTACGCTTGCAAAGCGAAGGTTTGTTCTGCAATCGATTCCTTCTGTGATCCCCTTCAGTTTGCCGCTCGACATGATTCATTGGTTTCCCCGTAGGGTACAGATGGCAGAGGTTCAAGAGCTGTAAGTAAAATCAAAATCGGAAAATCGATAAGATTGGTTTCACGATAAATCATGCAATGTGATTTATAAGCATTGACTTGGTGAAATGGACTTCACTGATTGAAATGCTGGTTGCCGCCCAGCAACTGAGTATCAAGTGGACTTACGCACCTCAGATACATGATAGGCACTCCAGAACCTTCATTCTAAAACTCAGTGAGGATTATTACGACTACCTCTCGAAGCCAATTAAGGATATGATACCCCAACCGATTCTCCATAACCTGAAGAATTCTGCTTGTCCGTCTTAGGCTGCAACAAATTGGTGCATACTATGAAAGCTGTACTAACTGAATCACTGGACGGCTAATTTGATTGACATCAGTAGTTTCGGACAAGGAGGAGAAAAAACCGAAGAGAATAAGCATAACTATTTTTCCCTTTGAATGCTTCGACGTACCCAGGTGAGTGTGTGCACACAATAGTCTGGGTCTAATGTGTGCTGCACTACAGTGGCGGCAGATAACATACTTTAAATGCTGCATAGTAGACACCAACAGCAGAGGGTAGTGTGAATGTGTTTTAATATTCATATCATCGCAATTCCAGGTTGAAACACAGATAGACTCAGAGGAGGCAGTGAGGTAAGTCAAGTCGTTCGGACACCTGCAGGATTCACGAAGGTTGGTTGCCAACAACTAGACACTGCAGTTCAGGAGGTAGAGGACAATTACCTGCTGACACTGCAGTTCAGGAGGTAGAGGACAAATTACCTGCTTAACTTTTCATGTGACTAACTAACTAGGAAAGAGTATGGAGTATTTGTACGGGAAAGCACTTATCAACCAGATGACTTCTATGTATTCGACACATTTTTTCAGATATCGTTTATAATGTTGATCTGATTAACTCGGCCAGATAGATGATGCGTACAATTTTGTTTCTTTATTCTGATTGTTTAGTATGACAATACGTTGTGATCAGCTATCTATCTGTGAGAAGCTATTACATCTGTAGAGTTAATGATGAATATCGAAAATTCGCTTAAATCGCATGGTAGACATTAGTTAATCAGTCCGTATCGATTGTTTTGCTTGAGCCATTGCGTTCTGGATATGATGGCGCTCAAATGGCAATTCGACCCGTTATAATGCGGTTGATGTACCATTCAGTTTCACCGAGCTTACTTGTTCTTGACCGATAGGTTTAGAAAAAAAGAGTATTTGATTAAATACTGGTTTACCTACTGTCATACTGATCACCACCACTCCTATTTGTACCCTGATTATGGCGACTCATGGGACGGAGCGTTATTCTACTCTGATGTCTGGAATCTGAAGGCAGAGGTTTTCAACGTATCATTCCACACTATTGTGACAGGTAATTTATCTCTCGAAACTTCCATAACCCAAGTGATAGTGAAATCACTTATAGTTAGCAGATGGGAAAAACTTAAGTCTACTTTTACTTCACTCGTGTTTCGCAGATGTGATGCATATGGAGCCTGAAACTCAGGGCGAAGCCAGCAGTTCTACTCGCTTTGAAAGCAGGCCGTCTGTAAGAAGCTGATAATAGTTCTTTCTTGGTTAGTCCCCGAAAATGCAGAGTCGTACTAAATGAAAAACTAGACATTCTATTTTCGCCCCAAACTTGCTTCTTTTCTTCACTTATCTGTGTATTAGATTTCATCAACTGTTTTTCTATGAATACTCCAGTACAGAGGAACTGATCATCGGATGACATATTCCGCCACTTTAAAACCAGAATTTTATTCCAAGGGCTGAACTGTTCAGAATGCGCTGGGAATGACATCCTCGTTAGGACCATTACAGCCACTTGTACACGGCTTATAACATGCGCAAATTAGTCCACGGTCCTTCAGGGTTGGTGTCTGTATAGGTGGCCGCTGATCTGTTTGCCAAGCTTGGCAGTAGCTTGTAAGCGTTTCATCACTAATCAAGTTGATATCTTCAGTGCGCAGTTGGGTGGGTGTTGCCAACAGTTACAGCACCTGCTGTCTCTTCGTAACTCATGTGGATTTAAAACCAGAATACCTCCTACCTTTTGTACTTCGATAGCATCATTTTTACAAACTGGTGCACAGCGTAGGATAAGGATTCAACGAAACCCCGGCATCCCCCATAGAAACTGGATGAACAGGAGCCTAATCAAGTTGCGCATTCGATGATAGACGATGGTTACGGTACAATGACCTTTTTTTTTGAATGTAGGCTCATGCAGCTACCTTCCACCTGGTTTTCGAGGAATCTCAACTCTCATTTCATTGACAGGATCGATTTTGAAAAGTCGGATAAGTAGGTATCCTGGCACAGAGAAAGAACATCGATATGTTCACAGGGCCTCCTTCAAAATTGTCGAGAAATCTGCACGAAGTTAAATGGAGTCTACATTTCTTACCATTACGATGGAGTCAGCCCAAAGTGATAGTACATCGCAGCCAGAACTCTCTTATTTTATAAACACTTTTAACAAATGCTACTTTTGATTATGGTACAGGATGTTTGAAGCGGAACGCCGGTCTATTCCTGGGTTCTATGAACCCGTAGGTTTTGGCCTTTGGGCATCTTTCGAGAGTGTTCGTATTGTCCGAGTAGCTGAGTGTGCCAGATCGCTATTGAATCTACCAGAAAATTCAGCCACTTTAAAAAGAGTAACTGGTTTGATAGGATTGTGTCATCTTGTGTGTCATGGAGAAAGTCAGCAAAAATTAAGGTCTCACCATGAAACTAAATTTAAGAACGCATTCATCTTTACTTGGAAGTACTAAGACTTAAGTTGGTTCCCTGATTACTCCCGTATGCACTACTCTACTCATTCATATGCAATACCTGATCAAACTCAGTCAACAGAGAAATCCCTAAAAAAGGGTCTATATCCCGGAGTGTGTACATCAGTATCGGACACGATTTAATTATCTCCCTCCCCCAAGAGGAAGCCTGAAATCCCCTTACGTGTGTTAAATTGAGGTGCGGAATTGATGTCCACAAAACTAGGAAATGTGATGTCCAGACATGGCGCATGGATAGCAGTTGATAAAAATTGTGCTGTCATCCAAACAAACTTTGCGACCGAGGGTTGTAAGATGTTGAGTCTGCTGGATAATCGAAAAAGAGGAATTCTGACTGCGTTGAAAAGCCTGCTGCACCGAGTGCAATTTTTGCGGCCACCACCACCATTCGGAATAACGTTTTCATATTCTTTCCTGTAACCAACCACATTGATGCAATTTTCGAGAATATGGGCCTTAGCTGAAAGTCGTTCGCCCTGTGGCGCTATTCCAACAGCTCACACACTCATGGTGACCAGTCTCTACCCTATTGAGAAGCGAGGGAATCGCAAAGGTTTTTCAAGGTTCATCCTTAGCAAGCAATCTTCCTAATCCAGCTAAAGTAGTAAACCAGTACTGACTACGAGGGTTTGGCTCAGTATGCTAAAACGCTTACATTCGGATGTTAACCAGTTTCTCTCAATTAATGGGCTCGGACCCGGATGTTGACACACACACACACACACACACAAGCTGCGAGTCTCAGATCCACAGCAGTAAGCCAGAGAAAAGTACACAGTGTATTGTATAGTAAGACAACAAAGACCATATGGATGACAGCTCGAAGCGACATTTTGTTAAGCCCCGGCCCGGATGTTGACACACACACACACACACACACAAGCTGCGAGTCTCAGATCCACAGCAGTAAGCCAGAGAAAAGTACACAGTGTATTGTATAGTAAGACAACAAAGACCATATGGATGACAGCTCGAAGCGACATTTTGTTAAGCGGAACAACCAAGCTGGTCAGTCACAAATATACATGATAGGTAACAAATTCCCACCATCTACTGATAAACCTTATTCAGTGACTCCTCTCCACAGTTTACGACTTTTCCCCGAGGGGATGATTTTCCCGTTTCTCCTTGGTAAAGCTGGTTTGGGGCATGCGATGTACCTGTCAACAAATTTCGATGGAAGATCAGTGACGTGTGACAACTGTTGAACTCCGATTTTGACAGCGTTTGTTAAACAGTGTACGCAAAGTCCTTAAATGGGAATTCCCTGATCGTTTTGAAATGACCAGAATCTAAGTTGGATGCAGAAGGGCTGCTTAAAGACACGTTCGATTCTGCTCCAAAAAAATTTAAGCTTGGCTATTTGTAGAGGGTTTCGTAAGTGACATACAAATATGTAGATCGGCTAGCTTTCTTTTCCTGGTTCGTCTGTTTCAACCGGTTAGGCTGTTGAGTCCTGGTGCATAATATCAAACACTGCGAATGGCTGTCATAAGCTATTTTTGGAAATGACTAAGCAACTGTTAGACCACTGTACGCTTGAACAATTACGTTTCTACGTGGACGGATGGTATACGTTATCTGGTGTGCTCCAAACACTTCTCTTCAGTAAACTCGAGGCACTCCGAGTTCCGCCGTACACCTAATCACAACTGAAGACTGTGATAAGTGCTCTCTCATGCCTCGCCAGTTGTCAGTGAACTCATGTTGTGGGATTAGGTTATTGATTGCTTGATTACTTCATTCATTAAGATGTGATTTTGGCGGTGAAATGCGGTACGTTAGTCAGTCGCTTCAGGCTGAGTTTCCTAAAATATTACGGACGAAATGTAATCGTTAGCTTGTAAACCTGTTTTAATAAAAAAAGTACTGGCGTTGCCCGAACTGCTCTTCTACTGGTAGTGGTTTTAATGACCTCAGTCACTTGGATGACTTACCAGAAACGGATTTTATTGGATTCTTCCCCGATTCCAAGACCGCATAATTTGAACATACGTCCCATGCAGAGCTCTGGTAGGCGTTTGCAAAGCTCACTGTTTTTGTTTCCTATGGTCAATGGTAAGAGCAAAAGAATGGATTTACTGGACATGTGAACATTTCACGGGAAAACGGGCAATATTCTGTTTCTGCTTTCCAAAACATTGAATTTTGAACAGATGACAGACTTTATCAAGTGATTCTCGGACATCATCACCGGGATACAAGTTAGCTTCAGACGTCTCAGAGAGTTGGGCGCGAACTTGGTTCGTAGTTTGAAACTAAATTCGGTTTCTCGACTGCTCCTGTTAAGGCCCGGACTACCTCGAAGTATCTTGGCCCTCGAGGTTTCTTCGGGTAACGTAGCAAAAAGACATTGAATGGATTTTACAGCCGAAAGAGCGAATAAACGAGTCCTGTACGTTAAGATCACCACCATGTAAGTGAGTATTTTTCGACCGCTGAAAGGGGTCGCCTGTTCAAAATGATCAACTCTTAACTGACATAAGACAGTGTTGTGAACTTTTCAAAGGAATGGAACTCTTCATGGGAGTTTCCGTGGTGACTACCGTATAACTGCGTAGTTTTGTTCTTTGTGTCGACTGCTCATTTTCAATACTGACAACATCCAGATGAGTAAAAATCAGTTAATACTGGTGAACCATGTGACCTTCAGCTGACAAAAGTATGAAGCTGAGAAACAGACAAAAAGATCCAAGGCTCCGACAGAGAAATTTTAGCAACTCAGATCGTTCTTCCAGTAGTTCGAAACTATAACCAGTTGAACGACGTAAGTGTTGGTCATGCAGTCACTTGCAAACTAAGATTATTTGAGAGACGCAGTTGACCCGTAGTGCACTTAATTTTAAATACTAGCCACAAGGAACGTCCCATCCATTTCATTCAGCTCGAAGGGTACTGGTACGGATTTCTCTTCAGAAGTATTCGGGAATTTTTCGAAAATCACCACGTTTAGTGATCGTTCTTGATTTTCCTTCTTGTTTGGCCCCTGTGTTAGAAAATTGGCTTATCATCCATTCAAGATAATATTCTTGCTTTTCAGTGAGGACAAACAGATTTTAACACTAGTTAAACTGTCACATGTGGGCTGCGGAAGCCTACCACATCATGTGTATGAGCACAATATATCTGAGAAGATGCTGTTGGAGCGGTATTTCTTCATTAAATGGTTATTTGAGACATGGGCATGACAAACGTTCGGTTGTTGTCAGATAGTAAACAATTGTTTTCGTCCTAACCGCTTGACTTCTCAAGTAGGATGATTAACCAAGCCGCTAAATTAAATGATACAAATCCTAATTCTTGATCATACACTTTTATAAGCCAGATGAAAACTCTCCGACAGCCTACCATCTTTTTCTCCCCTTAGGGCACATCACGGGTATCGACCAAGTTCCACTCAGCCGTGTTTCCTACCTGAACACCAAATTTTACATAGGTGGAATTTTTCTATCACTTTTAGCTAAATCTGTTAACGGGATTTTCAAATGAATATCAGCAGTATCCCTCCAATAGCATTTGAATCCTACCTGAACACCAAATTTTACATAGGTGAAATTTTTCAATCATTTTTAGCTAAATCAGTTAACGGGATTTTCAAATGAATATCAACAGTATCCCTCCAATAGCATTTGAACCAAGATAATAGGTGGCATACTCAACTGAATACCATAGATGAGAGGTTTAGGTCTTCCCAGTTGAGTCTCCTCTTAAAACCAACATTATGTGAAAATCAGTGTAATTCACAAACCGCAGACAATTTGGGTAGAAATAAAGCATATGGTTGACAGAAACTCGAAGACTGCGCGCACTTGATGTGCCCAAAGAAGGGCAAAACCAGTCATGGGTTGTCAAAAAGTTTTGAGCAACCTTGTGAGTAGCTATACTTCAAGAAATCATACTGCGATATCTCGAATATCCGTGTCATTGTGGGTCACATTCACTCAATGCAAAGCACTACGAACGATTCAAGCTGGATTCAGTTGAGGGTCCCGTTGACACGAGAGCATAGCCTAGCTCATTCTATACTCAGAAAAGACCGGTTTGCCGGTATCCCCGCGTAAAGCGTAAAGCTCACATGCATCCGAAATTTAACTGAGACACGTTAATTTGTGATGAATGTGTGCTGATCTTAAGTGCGAGCAAACCTCAGATGAGTTATGGCGTAGGAACTTCCAAAACTCCATTTAAATCGGATTAAAGTCATTTATTGTGTACTTGGGCCGATGAATTTCTTACTTCATACGGTTTTACAGATAACCGGATAGTCGCACAAATAAAACAAAGAATGCTACTCAAAAGATTGCTGAAAACTCTTCGACAGCCCACGACCGGCTTCGCCCATCTTGGAGCTCATCAGGTAGGCGCAGTCCCCGAGTTTCCGTCAACCTTATGATCTACTTGAACCCAATTTGGTCTGTTTACGAGAAATACACTCATTTGCGAATCAATCTGGTTTCAAGAGAACATATTTAAAAAATTCGAGAAATACACTCATTTGCGAATCAATCTGGTTTTCAAGAGACACTCAACTGAATTTCTCGTTTATGATATTCCTTTATGAAAATATACTGCGATATCTCGAATATCGCGCCAACTGAATCATGAGGCGGCCTGTGTGCAGCACATTCAGTTGTAGAATATCATAAGCGAGAGATTCAGTTGGGTCTCTCGTGAAAACCAAATTGATTTGCAAATGAGTGTATTTCTCGAAAACAAAGAGTGTTTATAAAAAACTTGGTCGTCAGGAGCAGCTCCTACTCCGCCATTTCGAGCAAACATGTGTAGCTATCTCCCACCAGTAAAATGTTTTGGAGAATATGTCATAGTGACTACATTACGTGAAGCATTTTTAGGCATGTATGGTAGATGTCGAACTACTATGTGATTGTCAATGATGGGATTGCTGAAAAATCCTAGCTACGGAACCTTTAAAACCTGGAACACCAGAAATCGAGGTGCCCCTGAATGGTGGGAAACGGTGTTCAGCTAACCGGGACGTATCTTTACAAATTCGTTGGATCATCATCTATAGCCCAGGCCAAAAAGCTCTTGGTCAAAAGTTTGTGGTCTAGAAATGGTAGAAAGGCTAGCAAGATTGTTGTATTTTATTTTTCACATTTGCGTTTGGGATTTCCGATAAGTAGCACAGTCAGTAATGCCACATTCATATATCACTGCTGCTTCTCAAACTTCCTTGTCAAAAGCGCTACATTAAGAGATTTTATTTATTCCTACTTATCGAGATTCCACAACCGGATGAGCCTAACAGATATGATAATCCAGAAAAACGTTCCGCAGAGATCCGTTGGATGCATTTAGCTGTTCGCCGTAGGGAAAAATCGCACAGTCATCAACCTGTCATCCTAGTCCACTTGATCCCTTTAGAGTGAATAATAACTTGTATGCATGAGCGAAATGTGAAGGGGGGAGGGTTAGAGCACCTGTTCCGCGGTCAAGTTCAATAGGCGCATAAGGCCACAAACTTAAGGACGTCTAATTGAACACACAGGGGCTTGAACTTATCCTGACATATTCGACATGCCACAATTTAATGGATTCGCCATACACTCCAAGGTGCAGTGTGCAGATGAGAGTTTTCAGAACGAATCCATATATCTGATCGACTGGGCTGATCAGATATGCGCTGGAAAGGGGAAACCTTGAAGGACGCTCTACTGAACGTTAGTCACGAAAGAAACAGAAAGCGATCGCCTGAGTTGAACGACGCATAAACATTGTGGCATTTCTGTGGAAGGGGGTAATGTGGTCGAGGCCGACAGATTACGCAGCCCCCAAAACACACGTGCGCAGAGATGAAGTAGCGCTCATTTTGTAAATCAAAAGACAGAAAAGGGCTGATATTGTGAAGGATCTTGATCAAATCGAAAATTTACCCCCCTACGTGGGATCGACGGAGACGAAAAATGTCAGAGGGGAAAGTAAACTAGCAGACAGGGTGACGGCCAGTTTACGGCCAAGAAGCCAAACGACAGCTGGCACTGGCAGCTTTTGTCTGGACAAAAATTACTGCAGTTCGGAAGTGACTTTCAGAGTGGTTGACGTCGTTATTTGTTTGTTTTTCTCCACCGAGAAGACAGTTTTGGGGAAACGGACCTTTGTGTAGTTGCAACGTGCGCGTGTCCACATGAAAAAGCAAACCGCTTCCAGTCATGATTCTTTCCGTATCTTTAGTGTCATCGAACTGAGTAAACCACATGTCTCTGTTGGCGCTGCTTGAACCGTGACAGGTAAAACGGCGGCATAGTTAGGTGTCGCATTTACTCGAATTTATGAATGTAAGGACTGAAAGGCAGTATTCGCCTGAGTATTTATTACATCCATCCAAAAAAAGACGATAGATTTAATCTGGAATGCATGTCTACGGGTAAACATGATGTTTCTAGCATTGAAGTGAGGAATGGTAGTTTTGCTGTGCAAAAAGGAGTTTACTTATTTCTCGCTGTGTCTTTTAGAACTAAATCATATTCCATCAACGGAGAGGATGACAATGGAGGCAAGACACTCCATTTTTTCAAGGAAACCATATCACATAATAGGAGAAACCCAAAAAATAATACTGACCTGCTGTGAAAGAACGTTGGAGTATGTTGGAGCCACGGACACATTTGAAGGTTGTTCTTCCTTTCGAAAGTCGGTTCCACAACGCTGTGACGCTGTTTTGTTTACTGAATCCACCGCGTCACATTCGCTGTTGTCAGGAGCTTGGCGCAGACGAAGCATATCGTTCGACAGTTCACTCGTCCCCGAGACTCCGGCAGCAATCATATTTTCTGCAACTCTGTTCCTGTTTGTCTTCTGTTTGCTAGATGTTTTGGAATTTACCGGAACGTGGGTCCGCGAATGAACTGAGGGAAGTCTAGAGTCATTCGCGTTGACAGAGCCGTCATTCTGTACCAAGCTACCCAAACCCAGGGCAGCACTCAGAGGAGACGTGCCGATGGGGAGGACCCCATTATGCTGAAGCATCTCTTCCAGGTTCTCGATGTAGTCAATGGCATTTCGCAAAATTTCCACCTTTGGCATCCTTTGGTTAGGGTTCGCACAGGTACGACGTTTCAGGGTTTCAAACGCCTCATTAACTTTACGCAGTCGTCGACGCTCGCGCATTGTTGCAGCTTTGCGACGATCCACCTGCATGGTCTTTTTCTTGCAGGCTTTGCATGCCCACAAAAGGCACTGTCCATGTGAACCGGGCACAATAACGTGTTCCTCCTAAGGGAGAAAAAGTAGACAAACAACTGTAGTTTCTTTTCTTTAATGTCTAAAGTAGAAAGTAAATGTGAATTAACAAGCAAGCATTATTCTTTTAAGCTGACTTAACCTTTTAAACAACTTTTCAAAAAATGAGACCTCATGGTAGGTTAGACAAACAAAAATGTTCTCTAAAATCGAGGAAGTGCCCACAAGAGGAGACCAACTTCAAACATATCAGCTGTGTGGCATTCCATCACGCCGTACAGTTTCTATTTGACAACGGAACGAGGCACGATTGAGCAGCCTGAGGGGCTTATTGCGTCCTGAAAACTTTGTATCAACCAAGGTGCAGTTTCGCCCCAGCATGAAATCCAGCCCTGGATTAGTATCAAGCCGAAAGAAGCGAAGATGATATCGCAGAATGATCATGTTGAAGAAATGCAGCCCTAGGATGTGGGTTTTCTCCAGGAGAGAGTCGAAAATCAGGCTACAGCTTAATCGAAATGGTGTTTTGGATTTTAGGCTCTTTATGCAGAGAAGTCCATCTTGATTTTGAGTAATGTATATTTCGTTGCTGCCTAACAGTTATGGCATCATTTCATCAAGTGTTACCGAACCGGGAGTAGAGTACGGTTTTTAGTCGGCCGAGAATATTGTGGGAATAAAGGGATTTTAGTGATTGGCATCAATAAGTCTCTACATCAAGCAATGATGTATGATTGATTAATAGTGAGCGATACCTGGTCTCTATAGTCCTACAAACCTGTACGGAAAAAAGTCAGTGCGTGAATGCAGGATAATTGAAACATAGTAATAATAGACTTTAGACTGTGTTGCCCTTTCGATGCAAAGCTCCCATGCGATTTGAAGGGAGCAAGGATGCTTAGCTATTGTCAAGCTGGTCATGAAAAAGCCATGGTTGGGTTTGGACCATCGCCTCATCGGTCAATGACTCAGAGTCTCAAACGATGAGCTATCTAAAGCTGAATAAACAGGTTCTATCCATTTCCAGAGTGGAAGACGACTTGACACCTGATCTGAACTCAGCAGCAGACCACTAAAATCTAGTGCTCCTCCAGGCTTGCGCAAATGCAGCTCGAAAGGGCTTCTGCACACATTCAGATCGAAATGTGTGCACATAAGTAATCGTGGACCCTGACTGTTTACTGTTTTTCGATTTAAAGGAGTAGAGATTTAAAATTCTGGATATAATAGCGAGAGTTATTTGTATTCCATTTTAACATTGCCAGCCAATGCATCAAATCGTGAATAGTCTTTGACAGAAACCCTCAACGTGAGCTTTGTGTCACCAGAGATTCTTGAAGTAAATCATTCGTCCAAAAGTAAACGGGGTAGGATACCTCCTCTTACTGATCCACGTGAAGCATCGGTATGCTGTGAAAAGGGCACTCAGAGTCATTCTTATGCTAGCAAACCTTCCTTTATGACTGACTATATTGAGAGTAGCTTCAGTTTTGTCCCTATCAGGTTAAGTATGCGGACAAGGACAAGCCCATTCAAAATATGGTCTACGATACATCTGAAAGAGGACAAGTCACATGGGATGAAAGTGTGACTGCAATCTACAAACTGCTTTCCCCCTAGATTTGCGTATTCGGCTTAATTGCTCATCTCAGGAGAGACCACTTTCTTCAGGAGGGAAAAATGGTATATGCAATTTCTGTTTGCTTTAATGCAGGATTAGAAGTGCACATAGCACGAGTTAAAGTTTTTAACTTTGTCACTGCTCTATTTTGTTTTCTCCGGGGTTGCCACCACAGCGCGTCTAACCGCCAAGTCTGTGTGCACCCATCTACGTGATTGATCGTATCGCATGTTTACAGGCGATTTTCGCTTTGGTAACTAAAACTTCTTGTCGTGTCGACTTTAGCGGACTAAAACAGCGATTACTTTGTCCACTTGCCACAGTATGCGTGTGACCGTTGCAGAGGTTGAAACAAAGTTTTGTTTGTTTCCGACACGAAACACGCAACAACGCATACAGCTTAGAATGCACGCGCTCGCATCTCTATCGATGTTGACAAGTGACTCGAGACGGTTAAAGGCCACGTACGCACCGTGTAGGGTTCTCGCCGCATCAACGCACACATGGGTCGTGCAATCGCCGACAGAGCTGTGTAAAGTCTGGACTACCGAGCTGCGTTCCCGGGATAGCGTAAATGAACACGAGCGCGTGTCCTATGCCCAAACAGCCCAGCAACCGGAGGCTGGTAAGAGCGTGCCAAGTGCTAATTGTACACGTTTAACTCACTTCACTCTTGTCTATTGGCACACACACACTTATATGCGCGGAAAGAGGAGACGAATAACATGGACGTCGAGCTAGTCGTGATACTGGTGCTGTAGTTGGTGCTGGTGGTGGTGATGATGTTTTTTCCACAGTATTCCTCCCCAATTTTGCGGGCAGGGATTACAACCAAATCGGCAAGCAACCAGGTGATGTTTTTGCGTCAGCTGTTGTTTGCAGTTCCACTTGGGCTAAGCTTCACATTAACATCTCCGCACCCATACAAACACATGCCTACATAAGTATACGGATATACAATGAATAAATGCATACATCTCCATGTGAATATATCTGTCGGTCCCGTCGCTGTGTTACCATGTACGGAGCACGGTGACAACGTACGACAGATCCAGTGGAATAATCCGACTTGAACAGATTGTGTATTTCGGAATGGCAGATGATATTGATCTGTGTGACCATATGGTGGTGGAACGCATAAAATGTTCAGTTGAATCGATTGCATCAGTAGCGGGGTGACGTTTAATTGCTCCGGAACCGGGAAGAGGGGACAAAAGTGCCGAAATTTGTTGACTAGTCCAGTGCGTTGATGCGGAGTAAGGGAGGCGTTGGTGCACCAGAACTTATCTCAAACACGAAGATTCTCCTTCTTACTTTCCTTGCCTAAGACCTGTTAATACCTGTCTCCATTTCCAGAACAAATTAGGAATTCTCTCATCCAGTAAGACCATCGCCTCTCGTTCAGGAATAACATGCAGTTGCCTGAAAACCATCGGCTGAAAAATTGAGGTGGTCACTTTCTCAATCAGGCGGTTGATATTTAAACAAAAAGAATTAAATCGGTCGCACAGAATACCTGGAGCTTCATAGTCCGTCAATGCAAATGACGTTAATACCATGTGGATCCTCGCCATAAACGTAACCACACCTGATTGAAGGTTCCGATTAGAGGAGTTAAATCAAGTGAGACCGACAGAAGAGACCTCCCAAACTGCAGCTCAAATCGATTGTCAACAGACTTCAAGAGATTAGATACCCAGTGAGTTTGATTGGGCGGCAATTAAGAAGGATATTGGCTCCAAGACCTAGTAAGGAATGGCTTGGCACAGCAGTCGTTCCATATAAAGCAGGAAAATAGGAGGTTATTCGAAGGCTGCTGAACTTAGCCAACATTGGTGTAGTTTCCAGGAGAAAAAAACGCTATGCTCAGTTTTGGTGCAATTGAAAAATCCTCTCCCGGTTGACGGGACTAGGTACTGTGTATAAAATTAACTGCAACGGTTGCATTAAGGTTTACATAGGGCGAACTGCCAGAGAATTGCACATCAGAATTGGTGATCATAAAAGGAGGATAAACAAATCACTAAGAAATGCGGTGGTTAAAGACTCAGCGATGGCGGTACATGAGTTAGGCACAGGATTGCGATTCACACCATAGCGGCTGATAGCCGAGGTGGTGGTAATTACCAAGCCTCGCAAAGTGGATAAAATCGAGGGTGTGGAATCGGTGAGCGTATGGAGAGCGGTCTTAGATAAGCCGAGTTGACAGGTGATTGTGTGGTTGTCAATGCGCGCAGAATGATCAGTGAAAACAGGGGTGCAAATCCCAACCCGACCGAAGTTCACAGACCCTATTTTCCTTACGCATCTATCGTAGCACTAGCTCATCCACAGAGACGGACGAAAAGTGGAAACGATGCTCAAGAAGGATCATCACGTGAACCAGAAGAACCAGATTTTAACCTGGACCCAAATCCATTTAAGTTCCTGCATCAGCTTAGTACTTAGTGACCCATCCTAACAAACAAAATATGGGTTGGTTTACCTAATTGGTTCCCCTTCCACCTTGACTCTCGACCAACCCCGTAACCTAGTCACTTGGCCTGACGAAAATTTCGTGTCAGAGGAGAAACGTTGCCCAGCAAAATAATCTACCGATTGTGACCAATAATAGAGGAATTTAGCTTCGAACAATGGCTACGATTTTGAACTGCTATTCATTAGGTGCGGTAGCTCTCGGCGTGGATTGTCATGGAAGATGAATTGCCGTTAGTCAGCTCTATTCAGAGCGAATGAATGATTCACTTTGTAGACTATAATCAACACAATATTTGTGTGTGGATGTTGTGTGCTGCTGAAACGTTCACGTTCCTGTAATGCATGTAGCAGGTGTCTAACCTGTCGATCATTCATCGACTTCCGACGAACTCCACATTCGCTCCACTAGTCAGTGTTTCACTATCTGCCGGTTCTGTTCAACTTATTTTTCCACTTAATTAGCTTTTCTGAACAAGTGATACGCAAATGATGACTATAGCATGTTCAACCCCCACTACTTGTGGTTAAAACTGACACATACACATGTTAGACCATTGCCACTTTGCCAGTCTGGAGCGGGTGGGCGGGTGCACCATGATCAGAATTGGTCCTGTTTAACGTGCACGTGTGGGACTACTGAACTGCAAAAACAAGTGGTTTCATTTACACGGATCGCTGGTTTAGCATCGGATTCGACAAGTATTTTGGTGGTGGTGGTCACCTAAACAGGCTGGGGTGAGCCCTCAGAACAAATTTGGAACGTTGCAGGACTGAAAGCGGTGAGGGATTAATCATAATTCATTCACGGGATACAAGTCCTTTGGCTACTGCTGCTTACTAACTTAAACTGTGATAAACTGTAGCTCGGATAAGGGCAGTCTTCGACAAACACACTCATTAGCATATCAGTTTCATTCTTTTGGGAAACCCAATC